GGATACTGGCTTGTGGCAGCCAAGCGTTCATAGCGACGTTGCTTTTTGATTCTTCGATGTCGGCTCTTCCTATCATTGTGTCGCAGAAGTCACCAAGTGTAGGATTGTTCACCCACTAACAGGGAACGTGAGCTGGGTTTAGACCGTCGTGAGACAGGTTAGTTTTACCCTACTGATGAACGGTTGTCGCGACAGTAATCTAACTTAGTACGAGAGGAACCGTTGGTTCAGATATTTGGTCATTGCGGTTAGCTGAACAGCTAGTGCCGCGAAGCTACCATCTGTAGGATTATGACTGAACGCCTCTAAGTCAGAATCCATGCTGGAAAGCGACGATATTCACCTCTCCCGATGTTACACGCATCACGATAGGCTTCGGCCGAGCATCATACTCCATCGCAATTTCGAATGTTGGGAGGGATAAATCCTTTGTAGACGACTTAAATATGGAACGGGGTATTGTAAGCATGAGAGTAGGCTTTGTCCTACGATCTGCTGAGATTCAGCCTCTTGTTCCGGCGATTTGTTAATGTGAAAGCAGACAGCGAGCTTCTGTGCGCCCTCTTCCGAGAGTCGAGCTGCACGTCGATCCATCTCTTTCGCGCTCCCCCCCAATCAAACCAAACACACAAAACCAATACAGCTCCAATTGGAGCGAACCAACCCAACCCAAAAACAAAATCCATGCCTTTTTGTGCGGGTTTCTCTTCTCTCCCGACGCAACACTCGACCCCAGAAGACCGACCTTTTATTAAAACCAAGCCGCTTTCGTGCGGGTTTTATCTTCATAGTGATCGACTACTCGGACGACTACTACTACGACTCATCGACTCCCACCACTTCTCTGAAAACGCCCAAGTCCAAATCGTGCGGGTTTCTCGGCGACCATTGCCAAGTACCCCCAAGTACCCTGCACTGGACACTTTGACGCCCGAATACGCCCGTTTCCTCGCGCCGTAAAACGCCGCTCGCCGTCCGCCGCGCCTCCCCCCGCCCCCGCCGGGACTCCCTCTGCTCGACCGACGCACAAACCCGCGCGCGCGCGCGCGCCCGTCGCCGCGCGCGTCCGCGAATACGGCCTTTTCTCCCGCCTTCGCGCGCGCGCCGCCGCGCCTCCTCGACGCCACTCGTCCCTCGCGCCGCCCACTCCCCGCGACGACGCCGCGCACGGCCCGCTCGCGACGCGCCGCGACCCGTCGCGCCCGCGTTGCGCGCCGCCGAGGCCTCGCGGCACCGTGCCTGCACGCTGAAGTCGAGCTCCAGGCCTTGGCGGCACCGCGCCTCGCCTCGCGAAGCGACGCCGTGCGCGCGCGCCGACGACCTCCAGACGCCGCGCGACGTGCCGCGCGGCTCGCGCGAAGGCGTCGCGCGGCACACCCATCGACGCGGCCCGCCGCGCGGACGCACTCGCGCCTCGGCGACGCGCTCCAAGCGCTGCCGAAGCGCTGCGACGCTCTCAGCACTGCGTCTCGCCCATGGCCGCGCTGCTCGACGAACTGCCGACGTGGACCGACCCGCCGCTGCATCGCCGAGGCCTCTGGTCGTCGAAGGACGCCGAGTACCACGCCGCGCTTCGCGCGAAGTACGAAAACTGGCGCCGCGGCGCGAGCGGGTCGGCGAACGTCCCGCGCAAACTCCACCAGATCTGGCTCGGGCCCAAGCCGCCGCCGGACGCGCACGCGGCCGCGTGGCGCGCGCTCCATCCGGACTGGGAGTACAAGCTGTGGCGCGACGCGGACGTCGCCGCGCTCGGCCTCGAGAACGCCGCGGCGTTCTCGGCCGCGACCAACTGGGGCGAGGCGTCGGACATCGCGCGCTACGAGATCCTGCTGCGCTTCGGCGGCGTCTACGCGGACATGGACTTTGAGCCGCTCCGGCCCCTCGACGCGCTCCGCGAGGCCGCGGACTTTTTCGTCGGCTTCTCGAACGTCGGCGCCGTCGAGATCAACAACGGCCTCATCGGCGCGGCGCCCGGGCACGCGCTCCTCGCGGCCCTCGTGGAGCGCGTCGCCGCGGCGCGCGTCCAGCGCCCGAAGCCGCCGCCGACGGACCTCCTGGCCGCGATCGCCGCGAGCGGCTTCCTCGACGACGCCGGGCCGCTCGCGAAGACGCTGTCCCAGGCCGACGCGGACTGGACCATCGAGCACACGGGGCCGGGCCTGATCACGCGCACCTTCTGCGAGCTGCACGGGCCCATGCCCCGCGCCGTGTGCCTGCCCTACGAGATCTTCTACGCCAAGTCGAACGCGGCGGCCGCGGCCTCCGACGCGTCGTCGCCCTTTTCCTACGCGGTCCACCACTGGGCCAAGTCCTGGCAGGAGCGTCCGCGGTAAATTTAGAGCCCCACAGGGGGGCAAAGCCCCGGCAGTTTGCTATAACTTAGTGGGTAGCCGAGCGAGACCCCTTTACAATGACGCCGCCCGGCCGTGGAGCCGGACGTGGCCCAGCGGCCGTTCAACCAGAGGTTCACCTTGGTGCACCCAAGGCAACCTTCTCCCCTGGCCCGCCCGCGACGCCGTCGACGCGGCAAACACACGCGCAACGCCTCCGCGACGGGCGCATCGTCGTCTAAGCCACCACAAAAACTTCCGCGCGCGCACCACGAGGAAACCAACACGTGAAACGCACGCACCCCGCTAAAACATGGACTCGCGGCGCGCCGGCGGCGGGAACCGCATGATGACGTCGACGACGCTGTCGACGAACGACATGTGGTCGAAGACCATCGGCTACGACCCGCACGCCGCGGCGGCGCCCGAGGAGGCGCCGGAGGACGCCGAGGACCGCGAGCGCCGGGCGGAGCGCGACAAGGGCGTCATGGAGCTCGCGCGCCTCGCGACGATCAACCAGGGCGGCGGCAACCGAGGCGCGCCCCGACGTCCCCGCGCGCGCGATCCCCGCTCGCGCGTCGCGACACCCGGGGGAAAGAAACGCCCCCCGCGCGCAGGCGACAAGTTCGCGCGGGACCTCTTCTGGGGCCTCAAGCGCAAGGCGCCGCCCAAGGGCTACGAGATGGTCGCGCTCGAGTCGTCGTCGAGCTCCGACGACAGCTCCGACGACGACGAGGCCGCCGCGAAGCGCCGGCGCGTCGGCGCGGACGACGAGCGGAAGCGGCGGAAGCGCGAGAGGAAGGACGCGAAGCGGGAGAAGAAGCGCGCGAAGAAGGAGGCCAAGAGGGCCAAGAAAGCCTCCAAGAAGGAGAAGAAGAAGCGGTCGCGCGACGACTAAGGGGCGGCGGTCCTTACTTTTGGCGCTGCTTCTTCCACTTGAAGACCGCGGCCTTGCCCCTGTCGCCCGCGGCGACCTTGCGCTTGCGGCCCTTGGCGTTGAGGACGTGCTTCTCGGCCTCGAGGCGCTGGAGGAGCTTCGTCGAGACGCGCTGCTTCTCGAGCGCGTCGTCGAGCGTCGCGTAGGCGCGCGCGACCTTCTTGCTCGCGACGCGCGCGGCCTTGTCGGGCTTGGGCTTCGTCGCCGTGGCCTTGGCGAGGGCCCGGGCCTCGACGTCGCCGCCCGCCTCGCCGTCGTCGAAGTAGGTGTGGCGGCCGCGCGAGCTCGCCGTCTCCGTCGCGTGGAGGCTCGCGCGGAGCTTCTCGACCTTGCGGTCGTCGACGACCTTGCGCATGTGCGCGTACCGGAGGTCCTGCGCCTTGAGCCCCGAGATCGCCTCGTGCGTCGCGCTCGAGCCCTCGGGCCCCGCGGCCTCGCCCGCGACCGTCTTCGTCATCGCGAAGTAGAACTCGTCCTCGTTCCGCTCCGACGCCTTGCGGCTCAGCGTCTTGATGCGCTCCTGCTTCTTGTGGTAGTTGTCCGCCCGCAGCTTGTAGTCCGAGTGCTTCTCCAGCAGGCCCAGGTGCTTGCGCGCCGCGGGCTGCGACCGCTCCTTGTGCGTCTTCCGCTTGACCGCATTCCGCAGCGACGACATGGCGCGCGTTCGGCGTTTCGATGCAGCGCGCGGCGACCGGCGACGGGAACGACGCTCGCAGCGGTCGGTCGGTCGGCGGCGGCGACGGACGCGCGCGGGTGCGCGCGACGAGCGTGAGCGCTTTCAGCGATGAAGCCGGAGCTGCGGCAAGAAGGCCGATCGCGTCGATTCGCGATGGAGAGCTTGGAGGTCGACAACGAGGTTGACGCCGACCCTATCGCCGACCAACCGATGGCGGACCGCCTCGCGCACCCGTTCGGCGTCGAGCCGGAAGGCAATGCGTGGTGCTGCGCGGGCACGAGCGTCGCCGCGGCGCGCTCTCCCGGCCTGGGGCGCATCGCCCTGTTCGACGACGCCCTCATCGTCAACGAGCTGCTCGCCTGGGTCGACGGGGCATCGCTCTGCGGCCTCTGCGTCGCGTCGGGCGCGCTGCGGTGCTACGCGTCCCTCGAGGACCTCTGGAAGGGCATCTACCTGCGGCGCTGCGGCGCGTCGGGCGCGCCCCTGCGCTACGCCATGGGCAGCTGGAAGTGCACGACGCTCGGCCGCGCGCGGCGCGCCGTGTCGCGCCGCGTCTTCAGCGACGTGCTCTACCACCCGCACCGGCTCGCCCGCGGCGAGCCCCTCGGGCGGACGCTCGACCGCGACGACGTCGGCGCGTGCGCGCGCGAGCGCGCGGCGTCGCTGACGACGGAGCGGTTCGTCGCGGACTACGAGGCCGCCGGCGTGCCCGTCGTCATCGAGGGCGGCTGCGCCGCGGACGCGGCGAAGCCCCTCTGGGACCGGGGCGAGCTCGTCCGGCGCTTCGGCGACCGGCGCTTCCACGTCGGCGGCTACGAGTTCGCGCTCCGCGAGTTCCTGAGCTACGCGGCGGACAACGGCGACGACCAGCCGCTCTACCTCTTCGACAAGCGCTTCGGCGAGGCGGCCCCCGAGCTGCTCGACGCGTACGCGCCCGCGCCCTACTTCGACGACGACCTCTTCGGCCTGCTCGACGACGAGGGCGACGCGAAGCGGCCCGACTGGCGCTGGATCATCGTCGGCGGCGAGCGGTCGGGGAGCGCGTGGCACAAGGACCCGAACGGCACGTCGGCGTGGAACGCGACGCTCCGGGGCCGCAAGCGCTGGCTCTTCTTCCCGCCGAAGACGACGCCGCCGGGCGTCCGGCCCTCGGCCGACGGCCTCGACCTCGTCGCGCCCCTGAGCCTCGCGGAGTGGGCCCACGCGTTCTACGCCGAGGCGCGCGCGCACCCGCACTTCGTCGAGGCGCACACGGGGCCCGGCGACGTCGTCTTCGTGCCCCGGGGCTGGTGGCACAGCGTCGTCAACCTCGACGACTTCAACGTCGCGCTCACGCACAACTTCTGCAGCCCGCGGGGCCTCGCGTCGACGCTGCGCCTCCTGCGGGACGCGCCGCACCTCGTCTCCGGCATCGTCCGCGACGAGCGCCTCGACGAGTGCGACGACCTCGACGAGAACGCGAAGCGCGCCGTCGTCGGCGCGGCGCTCCACGACCGCTTCGCCGCGGCGCTCCGGCGCCACCGCCCCGCCGCGCTCGACGCCGCCGAGGCGCAGCTCGCGGCGCCCACGACGCTCTGGGCGAAGCTCACGGCCGCGCGGGACAACGCGGACCTCGTCTGCGCGGGGACGCGCCCGGAGCCGCCGCCGAAGAAGCGGGCGAAGGCGACGCCCGAGGCGTCGGGCTTCTCCTTTAATTTCGGCGCGTGACCATGTCGGCTTGCAGCACCTGCGCGCGCGAGGCGCCCTTACTTCGCTCACTCGCGCGCGGCGCGGCGGGCCGCGCGCGTCTGCGTCGGGTGCAGCTCCGCGACGTGCTCGACGGCCATGTTCTCGCCGGCGCGCGCCTTGTCCGCGGCGGCGTCCTCGGCGGCGCGCATCGGCGGCAGCGCCGCGAGCCGCGCGACGAGGTCCGCCTTGAGGCCCGACGTCGCCGCGCCGCGAGCCTTGAGCGCCGCCCGGAGCTCGGGCACGGTCTTGCGCGAGTCCGCCGCCTCGGGCGCGCAGTGCGACAGGAAGGGCACGTGCGCCTTCTTCTTCGCCCGCTTCGCCGCGGGCTTGGGGGCCTCGTCCGCGGGCCGCCGCTTCTTCGCGGGCGTCGCGGGCGCCTCCTCCGCGGCGCGCTTCGGCTGGCAGGTCTCGCAGGCGTAGGCCGTGCGCGCCGCGATGTCCCAGGAGACGACGCGCGAGCCGCACTTGGGGCACTTGGCCTTGTTGTAGATGTAGCGGCGGATCTGGCCGTACTTTCGCTCGTCCTCCTTGTCGACCGTGAGGATCGAGCCCGTCGCGTAGCCGCGCTTGAGGAGCTCGACGGTGTGGTGCCAGATGAGGTCGAACCTACCGAGGGCGACGGGGTCGGAGTTCCTCTCGGCGAGCGTCGCGCGAAAGAGCATGCCCGGAGTTCTTCTCGGCGAGCGTCGCGCGAAAGAGCATGCCCGTCGCTCGACGCCGGGTCGCACTCGTCGCGCGACAGCGAGTTGCCCGGCCGGTCCGGGTGGACGCCGGCCTTGAAGAGGATCTCCGCGCGGTAGATGTTGCCCGGCCCCGTGAAGCAGCTCTGGTCCATGACGAGCGCGCCGATCGACTTCTTCGACGCCGCGACCTTGCCCCAGAGGCGCTCCGGGTCCGCGTCGTCGCGCAGCGGGTCCTCGCCGAGCTTGCGCCGCTTCTCCGCGTAGAGGCCATCGCGCGTGCCGTGCGCGACGGTCATCGCCGACAGGTGGCTCACGACGCCGTGGCCCGCGAGGCGGAGCCGCGTCGTCGCCGTCGTCTCCGGCTCGTCGGCCGCGTCGAAGACGGCCCAGTTGCCCGCCATGCCGAAGTGCACGTGCACGCAGACCTCGTCCGCGCCGCTGCCGAACCACGCGAAGAGGTTCTTGCCCACGGCCTCGATGCCCGCGAACTCCTTGCCGTCGATGAGCGCCGCGCCCTCGGCGAAGCGCGCGTTCGGACTCGACGCCCGGAACGTCTTGCCGACGAGCTTGCTGCGGTGCCGCGTGGCGACGCGGTGCACGCTGTGGCCCTCGACCATCCTGATCCACGCGGCGGCGGCGGCGATGGAGCTGAGGAGGAGCGCGAGGCGGAGGATGGTGGGTTTTATGCGTTGCAACGGACGCGTTGCGTGTGCGAGTGTGGTGCGCGACGCGTGGGACCTGTTGTGCGACGCGTGGGACCTGCCGAGACGCGTTTCGTGCAACAACTGACGCGCACGGCGACGCGACGGCGTGCCAGATCAGCGGCTCCGAGCGTGGAAGCCTGGGAGAGCCGCTGCATCTTTGCGGCATCGTCGCGGCAACGTGACGCCGGACACGATGCGCGGCCTCCTGCTCGCGCTCCTCGCGGCCGCCGTAGGCGCGAGAATAACCGGAGAAGTGATCAGTTGCAACGCCTGAACGCTCAACCGCTTGCCCGAGGTGCGTGCCGCTCGACGCGATGCAAATGCATGGGCAGACAATGAGAGCGCCCGATGAGAGCGCCGCGCGCGCATCGACGCGCCATAGAGCAGCGTCAGCGCACAGGTGAAGCGATTTCTGAAGGGCAAGAGCGGCGCCATGAGCTACGACGACGTCGAGATCACCTGGATCCGCGGGCGCGCGCCGACGCTGCACATCAAGGAAGACGGCGTCGCGAAGGAGAGCATCAACCTCAGCACGTACACGGAAGAGAAGCTCCACGCGCTCTTCAAGGCCAAGGGCTTCCGACGACGGTCCAGCTCAGCGTCCGCCGACGGACGTGCTTTTTCGATCGACGCTCGCGCGACGAAATCCGACCCCGCCGCTCTCGGTAGGTTCAGCTTCGACGAGGAGCTCCACAAGCAGCCGGGCGTAAAATCAGTGGCGCGCTACACCAACACGGGCGGCGGCGCGATGCGCACGCCCCGGCTCCGCGGCGCGCCGATGCCCGGGAGATAGGGCCGCGCGGCCGGCCGGCCGGCCGCCTCGCGCGAGCGCTCTTCCGCCGCGTGTCGCATGACGACGGGCAGATCGTCCTTCGCCTCTCGAAGGACGGCGTCCGATCCGAACAGACACGACGGCGCCAGCAGCGCGCGCCCGCGGCGTTAGTCGCGTCTCTTAACATCCGATCTCGCTTTTAGCCAGTCAGTGCGACGCGAATCATGACGCGGAGCATCGCGCGAAGGGGATGTGGGATCGGAAGACTTCGCGCGTACGTTGCTACTCGCTCCCAAGGCTAGGACCTGCTAGGGAGGTCTTAGGGGGCTGTGGAGTGGGCTGTGGTGAAAATTGTTGCGGCAAGCACCATCTCTTTGAGGCTCTGCCAAGCGACGCATCCGCGTGCCGCACCCCGGCGCGCCTAGAGAACGCGCGCGAGATGGCCGCCTACCAGACCGACGACGAGATCCCGACGGCAGTCCCATGCGACGAAGACAAGGACGAAAATGAAGAACTCGACGCCCTCCTGTTCGAGAAAAAAGCGGTCTCGAGCGACGACGAATCGGAGTCGACGTCGGTGGCCGAGGAGTATGCCGCGCAGAGGATGAGCAACGTGGGCATCGCGACGCTCTTCGTACTGCTCATGCTTTTCGTGTCTTCTTTGGGCGGATGGAGCTCGCGGCGCGGCCGCATCGCCTCGCGGGAACGCGTGCGCGGCGTGCGGGCGCAGCGGCGAAAAAACGGCGTGCCCCCCTTCGGCATCCGCGTCGCCGAGGGTATGGCAGGAGTCGCCGAAGGCCTCATCGACGACGAATCTTCCGAGGCCGCGACGCGCCGCGGCAGACGTTAAGAAACTGTCGTAGTATAGTTGCTCGAACCGACTTCGAGGGGATTGCGCGCGCGGGGAACCGGGCCGCCGAGAACTCGCAGCTTCGTCGACGGAGGAGTCTATGCCACTCTATGCGTCCGGACGCGGCGCCGCAGACTCACGTGATGCCGCCGCGCGTCGTGCGCGCCGCGCGCGCGAAGACGCCGGCGATTTTCGGGCTTTCGGACACGAGAGCGTGCTGGTCTTCCCGTTGCAGCGCGAGGACGAGTTGACGCACCTCGCCTTAGGGCATCATGGCGCGGCTTCAAGAAGGCCTCAAGCAAAACGGTGCACGCGATCAAGAAGCCGCCAACTCACCCCTGAATAAGCGCAACACGCTTGAGGCCGCCGCCAGCTCCGGTGTGCCCGCGCCCGCGCCCGCGCCCGAGCCCGCGCCGCGAGCCCCTCTCTTGGGGTTCTCCAGAGCTCGACCACGGCTCGCCTTAACCCCATCACAATTTTTCTCCTCCGCTTGGCCTCCACGAGGACCCTCAGCGCAGTCGTCACCCCCACCCCGCGCGCCCTTGTTCGGCACCTGCACGCCGCCGCCCGGGGCGTCTGGCCGGGCGTGAGCCTCGAGCGGACGCGCGACATGACGGCGACGGTGGAGTCCGCGGACCTCGCGAACGCGTTCGTCGAGCTGACGAAGGAGGAGGCGGAGCTCGTCGAGGTGCTCTGCGCGGCGGCGGCGCCGACGGGGACGACGGTGCGCATCTGCGGGGGCTGGGTGCGCGACAAGGCCCTGGGGCGCGTCACGAAGGACGTGGACGTGGCCCTGGACAACGTGTCGGGCGCGGCGTTCGCGGCGCGCGTGTCCGAGGCGCTCGCGGCGCGCGGCGGCGACCGGGGCTCGAACATCGGCGTCATCGCGGCGAACCCGGAGCAGTCGAAGCACCTCGAGACGGCGACGATGCGCCTCTGCGGCATCGAGGTCGACTTCGTGAACCTCCGGTCCGAGTCCTACGCGGACGCGGGCGACACGCGGATCCCGACGATGACCTTCGGCACGCCCGAGCAGGACGCGCTCCGGCGCGACTTCACGCTCAACGCGCTCTTCTTCAACGTCCACAGCCGGGCCATCGAGGACTACACGAAGCGCGGCTGGGACGACCTGCGCACGGGCATCATGCGCACGCCGCTCGAGCCGCGCGTGACCCTGCTCGACGACCCGCTCCGCGCGCTCCGCGGCGTGCGCTTCGCGAGCCGCTACTGCTTCGCCCTCGAGCAGGGCTTCGTCGGGGCCTGCCTCCTGCCGGAGGTGCGCGCGGCGCTCCTCGCCAAGGTCTCGCGGGAGCGCGTCGGCAAGGAGGTCTGGGGCGCGCTCGCGACGAGCCCGCTCGGGTCCGCGCGCGCCGTCGACGAGTTCCGCAAGCTCCAGCTCGCGAGCCCGACGTTCCGCGGCTGCGTGCCGCCGGAGTCCGCGTGCGCGGTCGTCGGCCACGCCCACGCGCCCAGCGGCGCGCGCGTGCCGCTGTCCGCGGTCTTCGCCGAGGACGCGGACGACGCGGCGGCCGACTCGCCGTGGCTCCTGTCCGCGCGCTGCGTGCGGGCCCTGGCCGACGCCGAGGTCGCGGCGACCGACGCCGTCGACCGGGACGCGACCGTCGTCGCCGAGGCGGGCGTCGCGGCCGTCGCGAGCTCGGGCGTCGTCGGCCCGCTGGAAGCGCGCGACGCGACCTTGGCGGCGCTCGCGGCCGCGCTGCTGCCCCTGAGCGGCGACGACGCCTTCGTCGTCGACAAGAAGAAGCGCCGGACGCCGCTGCCCAGCGCCGTCTGCAAGGACGGCCTCAAGCTCCCGGGGAGGACGGTGCAGGACGCGCAGAAGGTCCTCGACGCCGCGCCCAAGTTCGCGAGCCTGGCGAAGCGCCTCGACGCCAAGCTCGCCGACGACGGCGCCGAGCCCTGGGGCGACCTGCGGCGCGACGCGGGCCTCGTGCTCTTCGACGTGAAGCGGAACTGGCGCGCCGCGCTCCGCGTCGCGAAGGCGCGCGTGCTCGCGTACGACGCGGCCGCGTTCCCGGGCGGCAACAACGTCGTCGCGCTCGACTGGACGGAGCCCAACCCCGCCGCGGCCCACTTCGACGCCCTCGAGGCCGCCATCCTCGGCCCCCAGCTCCACCTCGACGGCGTCTGGGACGCGCTGACGCCGCTCCTCGACGGCAACAAGATGTCCGCGGCGCTCGGCGTCCCCAAGGGGCCCGCCGTCGGCGAGCTCATGAAGGCGCAGCGCAGCTGGCAGCTCGCCAACCCCACGGGCGACGTCGACGCCTGCGTCGCCCACCTCGGCGGCGTCCTCGCGCGGCTCAACGAGAAGCACGCGAAGAAGAAGCCCCGCCAGCGCTGAGCTCCGCGCTCCCCCCCCCCCTCCCCCCGGATCCGCGCCCCCGTGTACACTGACCGGATTATGATCTCCCGGACTTGGCCCGGACGCGCTCCCGGAGGACCGCCCGCGCGGCCTCGCGCTCCTTGCGCTCCTTGTCCTCGGCCGCGGCGCCCTTGAGCGCCTCGAGCACGCCCTCCTCCGAGCCCTTTTGCTCCCGGAGGACGCCCGTGACCATGGACAGCGCCTGCATGGCCAGCTTGACCTGGTCCTGGCCGTCCTCCGCGCCCTGCGCCTTGTCCATGGACGCTTTCGCGTGCGCGATCATCGCCGCCATCGTCTTCTCGTCGAGCGGCGCCGGCGCCGCGCCGTCCGCCGCGGCCGCGCGCTTCTTGTTATCGGCCGACCGCTTCTTCGCGGCCCGTTTTTTTTGCGCCTTGGTCAGCGGCGTGCCCGGTTGGCGATCGCTCGCGTCGATGGGCCCGGTCGATTCCTCCAAGGCGGCCATCGTCGAGCAGAGGTGCTGGCCTTCGATTGATGGATGTGCTGAGCGTGCTGTCGCCCCGGACGGCTTCGCGCGCGCGGCTTCGGAGTCGACCGGCGAACGAAGCACAGGCGACAGGCGACAGCGCGCGCGGCTTCGGAGGTGACCGGCGAACGAAGCAGGCGACAGGCGACGGCGCACACCCAAACCTTTGGGTGGTGAACACCCGATTAGCCCTCGATGGGCCTCAAAGCGGCGCGTAGGCCGCGGTAGCCGAAGGAAAAACGGCCCCGGCCGCGGCGCATGTACCCCACGAGGGCGCGGAGCCGTTCCAACCGTTCGTGATGGCGACTTCGCGGCTCAAAACGGTCGCGTGACAGCGGTAGGCGGCCCACGCTCTCAGAGGCCCGAGTGCGGACTCGTCGGAAACGCTGCTTCTGGCTCGTTTGGGGCGTGTGCGGGTCCTTAGTGATGGTATAAGAGATTCCGCGTGCTTGGTTCGATGCGTGCGGGCCCAAAACGTGACTGCGCGCGCGGCCGAAGCTCGGCGCCGACGACATTCCCGACGCGTTGACCGCGGGCATCCGGAGCGCCACACGTGCGAGGCGCTGGCCACATCCCTCCGGTGGGTCATATACTCGGTCCGGAAGCGTCGTGTGACCTCGGAAAACGTGTTGAAGTCGTGGATCGCGGACCCCATACACTGCAGCCCTACCGAATGATCTCTGCCGCTGCGATTCTCGTCACCAACGTCCACGGCGACGAGCCCGAGCACACCATCGTCGTCGTATGAGATCTACGTGGCCTCCGGCTAGAAATTTCCAGCGACAACGACATTTTTGACCCGTTCGCGAATCTGGTGCTCGAGCGCATACAGCCTCATCTCGGGCGGAGCACCTACCTCTTAATCCGAGCTTCTAGTGGGCGCCTCTCGGTCGAGC